CAAGGGATGATCAAATGTACAGTGAATGTTTAATAAAAATATATTCTAGTAAGAGACACACTGCCATTACTACCCCTCAAAATACTCTCTCTCACTTCTAATACACTAGTCCTATCATTTTTGCCACTTTTTGAAGCAGTTCCAACAGCCCTCTTTTATGTGATAACAAGATGTGAACAAAAACTACAGTGAATTCTACTGCCAAGTGTCACCAGCAGAAAGGCAGGCTTGTAAAAACACTGCACTATTTCCTTGTGTAGATACAGCACCTTGTGACTTCTGGCTCTTCCCTAAACTCAAAAGGGCTATAAACTTAAACAATTTGAATCAATTCAGGACATAAGTGCGGACATTGACAATGCAACTAAAGACACTCACAAAGGAGGACTTCCAGGACTGCTTTAGAAAGTGGCAAGCAAGATGGGATAAATGTGTTCCACATGAGGGGGTTAATGGCAATATGCCTTTTACTGTAGTGAAATTTTAAAAAGTAAGTGTTCCGTATTTTCCAATCACACTTCATAGTTTTGGGATCAAGAAATGCTTCCTGGAAGAGAAGAACATTGAGCAAAATTATGAAATGTGAATGGGCATTACTCCAGTGGCAGGGAATATCAGAAGGTGAGGTGGGAGTGAGATAAGAGAGAGCCTGCAGAATTGAAGGTTGCTGGCTGCGCAGGGCAGAGCACCAGGCAGAGGCAGGAGGGTGCGTGGTACTTGGGGAGGGCCAGGGTTGCTAATATGGTACCTTCTGGAGTGGGAGGAATTCTGGGGGCTTTATTCTGGGCAGTGGGAAACCATGAAAGTTTTAAGTGGGAAAGCAATGTATTGACATTTGTAATTTTAAAAGATCACTTAAACTGTAAGATGGAGGAAGGATTGGAGGGGAAGGGAGAGATCTATAGATTACAGATTCACTTCAGCTTAAAGTGAAGTTATGTCTTAATAAGTCCATCATAAATTGAAAATATTCTATGTTCAAAGTGCATTGAATACACCCAACTTATCAGGCATCATAACTTCTACGTCAGGTATGGGGTATTTACCCCCTGATCACTAGGCTGGAGAGGATCTGAGGCCTAGTATGTGCTCAGCAAGGTAACAGAGTTTTCATGGGATATCACTAGCCGGGGAAAAGATTCACATTCAAAATCTGAAATACGATTTCTATCTTATGTGCATCCATTTCACACTATTGTAAAGTTGACAATTCATGAATCATAAGTCAGTCACTGCCTGTATTTATATCAACCCATGAGAGATGTTAGATTGAGATACAAAGAAGAGATCTGAGAAATAAAAGAGGCAAGAAATACTCAGGACCTGCTAATAGATTCACGTGACGTCAAACTTCACCTCTGTTTATGTATATCATACGATAAAACAAGTGTTTTTATACAGTCCAATGTTTTTTGGTTTGTTCCTTTCAGTTTACATTTGAAACTCTTACTTGATACAACCTCAAGTAGATAAAACTAGTATAGTAAATATCAGAAAATATTTTTATAAATTATTGTGATGCAATATAGATGCAATATGTAATTCTAAATTTTATAACTGCATTTTGACTGCTGTCTCATTCATTTGGATCATGCTATACTATTTAGAAAATTATAATGTGTTTTAAAAATATGACAGGCTTTAGCTGGGTGTGGAAGCACATTCCTGTGATCGCAGCACTCTGGGAGGCTGAGGCAGGAGGCTCACAAATTTGAGCCATCCTGAGCAATCGAATGACTTATCCCAAAATTTTAGAAAACATTTGTTGGGGCTGGGGATTTAGCTCAGCGGCATAAGCGCCTGCCTTGCAAGCAGACAGTCGTGAGTTTGATCCCTGGTACTGATAAAAACATAAAAGACAAAAAGAAAAAAAAGAAAGAAAAGATTTGTTTATGAAGGGCTGGGACAAAGCTCAGTGGTATGGCACTAGGTTCAGTCCTCACACTAGTGTGAGGATGGTGATTTTGCCTGTGCCATGTGGCACTTATTAGAAGCAGGGAAAAATAAAATAACTTGTTTTGGATTTGAAAGAACCAAAATTAATGTGATTCTTTTTAAGAAAAATAGGAATTTCGCACTGTATTTATGGAAATTAAATTAGTTTCTTAAGAAGAATAGTTTGGGGGCTGGGGATTTAGCTCAGCGGCATTAAGCACCTGCCTTGTAAGCAGGCGGTTGTGAGTTCAATCCCTAGTACTGATAAAAAGTTTTTTAAAAAAAAAGAAGAATAGTTTGATTTTCTGCCATAATAATTTCAATTGTTCTTTTGCACTTATACAGAGCTGCACAGAGCAAATTAAGGGCAGATACATATTTATAATGCTTATTCTTCTCTCCTATGCACGCGTGATTTGTCTTTCTCTGCTAACATTACCTTCAATGTGATATAAACCAATGGAGTATTTTCTACCATGTGCTAGAATCTTTGGCATTTTAAACAACTAGATTTTTATCTACTTCCCTTTAGTGTCTCCATAAAGAGCAAAGGGAAAAAAAGAGATGCATGGGCCAGCTCACAGAATACCTTTAAACAGGAGTAAGAAGCTAAATCAAACCAGAAAGACTCAGGGCTCAGGAGTGCCTCATGGAAATTTCAATATCTAGATCCAACATTTCTCAGTTTAGGAGAAATTAAAACAATGGTGTATGAGACTATTCATTTCCAAAAATTCCCTCAAAGCTTTTGAGAATTTAGTAGTATCATTTACTTAAAATACTTCTGGATTCTATCAAAGATATCATAAAAATACCTCAGTTGTTACTTTTTCTTAACTCTCCAAAATGTTCTAAGAAATGACAATTGCCAAAGGTGGTGGGGACTGTAATTGCTTGACCAAGGACTTATGCATTTTGGGCAAAGCGTGTTCGTGATGATTAAAATATATGAGGTGCTTGATTTAAGGGACTGATTGCATTACATACCTGGGAAATAAATCACAAGAACAAAAATATTGTTAAAGATATTTAAGTATATAGTAATTAGAGAATATATAGAATTTAGAACTCCAGTGGCTGAAGATTGCTCAGCAGTAAAGTATATGCTTGGCATGTGCAAGGCTCTGTGTTAAATCTCCAGAATCTGCACACCACAACCCTTCTGGCACTTAAAAAATATTCAGTTACAACTGTAAAAAATATGTAAACAAAAATATGAGTTTTTGATGAACTCATGGCAATCTTCTTGCCTCAGCCTCTTGACTGCTGGGGTTATAAGCATGCACTACCACCCCCAGCTTCAAGTGGATTTTTAACACATAATTTTGGCTCTTGCTTTAACACAAGAATATTCTGTATGTTTTACTGTTTGAACATCATCTATTTAAAGTATTTGCAAATATTAAAGAACATAATTCAAGCATTTCCCACTCATTAAATTACTCTTATTATTTTTATTTTATTTTTACTAGTTTCTGAGCTTTTAAAGAGAGTAAAAGCAAAGACCACAGGAAAAAAACAATGTATTCTTAAAGTAACATTTAGTTTTTCTAATTGTGAAAAAATATTAAGGTACTAATAGATTGTGTTATCTTTTATACTAGAAATAGGAAATGTATATCAGTATCATGATTTTAGTTTTTGTTTAATCTGTAAAAGCAAATTTTAGGTGCAAAATAAATTATTGCTGGTTTCAACCATGGTAGCTTCTGCCTACAACTAAAACCCTCAATTTTAAGAAAAATAAACAGAACCCAGAGAATTTTAATTTAAACTAGGAGTTTTCATGTTTGTTTATTTCTATTTTTTCTAACAAGAATAGTGTAATAGACTTTCTTTGAGTAGGATTTACCAGTCTTAAAAGCATCACTGTGTAAAAAAAAAATTAACTGTTGTCCTGAAGTACCAGCATTCTAAGAGGCTGAGGCATGAGAACAGCAAGTTTGAGCCCAACCAGTCTCAAAATAAAAAATAAAAGAAGGGCTGGTGTTGTAGCTTAATGCAAAGGCCCTGGGTTCAATCCCCAGAATCATAAAATAAATAAATACATAAATAACAGTTGTAAAAGAGTTTCTAAAACAGTAGTTTTAACCAAAAGCTATAGAAGTAGCAAACGGCATTATTTTATTTTATTTTTTATTTTATTTATTATTTTGAAGAGGGTAAAACAAAACAAAACAAAACAGAACAAAGCATATCAAAAGAAAACAATGTAAGTGACACAGAATTCAAAACAAGGCAGCAGAAGATTTATAATGGCTACCAAAATGTCTCTCGTTTTCATCTAAATAGTTGTGTATATCTTCATACACAATGAATTCATATAAACCAAAATAGTATAAAAGTAATCAGAACAGGATGATGAAGGCATTACAGGCCTTCCAAACCAGACAATAGGAAAATAAACAATGGCTATTGCAATGTCTCTTGTTCTCTTCAAAATAGCTGTCCATACCTTCATGTACGTTGAAATTTAATGATACAAAACAGACTAAAACCACTCTGAACAAAGAATAAAAGCATTACTACATTTCACAGCATGACAATAGGAAATCATCAATGGATACCATAATGTCTGTTTTTTTTCAAAGTAGCTATTCATTGTATCCCATATAATACAATCGATTCTTGTACACTGTTTAGGAGAAGTTCTAGGCATGTATAAACCTCTACATGTATATTTATCCTTTCTACATTAGAGGGAAAAACAAAACAAAATAAAACAAATTACTAGAAAAGAAACACAAAAAACAAATAAATAATAGCATAGATCCCAAAAACAATGATAGAAGCCTTCAAAACAAGGTGGTAGGTACATAACTAAAGTTATTGTTTTACATAGTGATCTTCAAGCAAAAGGTATTATTTTAATTCACTCGTACCTCAAAAATTCCGAGGCCCTATTTATATCACTAGTGCCCAATTTTGGGTGCATGGCATGACAATCAATTTCGAAAAAACATATTTCTGTGCCTTTTTGTTGTATAAACTTACTTGTGTGCTCCAAAGAGAATTTTTTGACCTGCATTGAACGCCTGATCTCTATTTTTCCTTTCTCTACTCAGTGCCGTTGCTGAAGCAGAAGGTATTGAACCATTAATAAACACCCTGTCCAGTAAACGAGATGGAGCCGTGGCCAACGCAGCCACCGTACTAACCAACATGGCACTGCAGGAGCCCCTGCGTGGGACCATGCAGAGCCACGACCTCATGCATGCCCTCATCGGCCCGCTGGGCTCACCAAACCCCCTCGTGCAGAGCAAGGCTGCCCTTGCCGTAGCTGCCACAGCCTGTGACGTTGAGGCTCGCACAGAGGTGAGGGTTTCCCGGGGAACCTTTCCCTCTTGTTGCCGTGTAGGACCTACCAGTGGATTAGTCTGAAACAGTTTCAAGAAGTAGAGCCTACCTGCCATTTAAGCCTGTCAGAATTGGGACAATACTTTGGGAAACAACCTGTGTTCTTTGAAGCAAAGAGAGAGCATGCCCTAGCAACCTGGCAATTCTGTTCTAGGTATTGATATGCCTAAGAGAATCTGTCACTTCTGGGAACCAGGAAGCATTGTTTAGAATGTCTAACTGGAAATGAACAGCTGTCCCACTCTTAATAGATAAATGATGTATTCCTAAGATGGACTCTCATGTTAGTGGAAATGAATGAACTGCAGCTCCAAGAGAGCAGGGATGAATTTCACAAACATTATGCCGAGTTAAAACAAAGTATATAGAAGAATATATACTTGTGGTTCACTCATACAATGTAAAAAATACACAGATCCAAGCTATATGTCATTTAGGCATACATACATATATACATACATACGTATAGTTTAACACTATAAGGAAAAGTAAGGTGATGATGACAATTAATTCCAAATTCAAGAAACTGGTTGCCTGAGCAGAGTAAGAGGGTGGTTGAGACTGAGAGAACTCAGAAATTCAGTCATATAAATATAATTTTTTAAACTGGGTGGTAGACAAACAGATGTCTTTACTAGAATTCTTTACATTGGGCCGGGGATTTAGCTCAGTGGCATAAGTGCCTGCCTGGCAAGCATGCGGTACCAAACAACAACAACAACTTTATATTGTATACTCTTGTACTTCTCTTTATTTTGTATCCTTAGAGTGGAATTCTTGGAAAACTGATCACCTAAAAATCATCTTAGTGCTTACAATGATTCTATTACACCTTTGTTAAAATTTGATATAAATGTACAAGGATCCTTTTTCTCTTAATTTTTTGTATTTACCTATTACTATTACATGAGTTGAAATAGCCTGGGATTTTGTTTCTCTCTCCCAACAAAACTAACAAACCTTAACATTTATTGAGCATCTGCTAAGTGCTGGACATTGCATATGCATTGAAGCCTCACAGAAATAAGTATGCTTATGATTTCCATTTTATAGATGAAGAAAAGGAGGTTGAAAAAGTAATGTTTTCGAAGTTGCTAAGTGGCAGATCAGGGACATGAGAACAATCTAAGCCCAAGCTCCACATTATGTTGTCTGCTCAGACAACGACCTAATCTGTGTTCTTCTATCTTAGATATCTCTTTTACCTTATTTTCTTGTTCCCATTGGTTCAGTCCACTTATACTGGAACATTCAGGAAGAGAACCATCAGACATTTACCAACTACTATGTGCCAGGTATTGTGCTAGGCATCAGGAATACGGTGGTAAAAGTGTCACAGTCAAATCTTGACTTGCAAAGAAATCTGTCTAGTTCTTGGATATTGCAGAAGATTCTGCTTTCTTTTCCCATACTGAGCTTTCAAATGTGTGACCCTCATCACACCATTGTAGGTCCCCATTGCTATAAGGTAAGAGTAGGCTATTAGCACCATTTACAAGGGCCCTGAATGACCTATGCCTACCTCCTTAAACAGCTGAGCTCTGTGCAGAGGGAGCTCCATGCCCACAATGCCACACTCTTTGTATTGGTACCTCCCATTGGTACCTCCTCTATTTCTCTGCATGGAAAGCCAGCCTACCTTTCATCCAAATCAGCTGCTCTTTTTCTTTCAAAATCCACCTCAAAGACTGAAAATATAGCTCAGTGGTATAGCAGTTTCCTAGTCTGCTCAAGACCCTAAGCTTGATCCCCAAAATGATCAAAAAAAAATTTTTTAAGCTATCCTGCTCCACCGTACTGTGTCCCAAGAGGCCTTCTTCCTGTCCTCACATTTGACTTCATCCTCCTCTGCACTCCAGTTACACCCTGGACAGTACTCCCTTGGCTTTCTTTTTTGTCACATTATTGTTCTTCTATTAAGAACTAAAGGCTGCTTGAGATTTTAGGGAAATGAGCAGAGAGTTTTCGTCCCTATGTCTGTATCTTTAGTATATATATGGTACATAATATATACTTAATACTTATTAAATGCACAAAGGAATGAATGGGGAAATTAGTGAACTAGATCTTTATCAAAAAGAACATGCGGAATTAGATTACTGTCTTGCACCACACACAGAAATAAAGACGTCCGGCAGCTTGACTGGCCAAATGTGGGCTGCTGAGTGAACTTTTCTGAGCTGCCCAAGTTACGTATGCTAATGTGTGAGCTGGGCCAGAGTCCCCGTGTTGAGATGAATGACTGTGAGTGGAACATTGTCTACAAGGCTCTCGATTTTGGATGCTAGCTTTGACGAATGTTCGGTAGAATTTTTTTTATCATCCAGTTCCAATAATGCAGTCTTGCATTTCAGATACGAAACAAGGGCTCCACCAGATTTGTTTCTGATTGAAATTATTTGTGCATGAGTAATGTTTTCATAGTGTAATTGGTATAGTCCCATCCAGTTCTTTTCTTGTTTTTTTCTTCTCTAGTTCTCAAAGAAACACAAAGATATTGAGGTTAGCCCATAATGGTTTTTTTCTAGAGAATCGTCTCAGTATAGTTTTGACCACCCTACTGACCTAATGAACCTGTCCAGAGATGTGGGTGGTATTTTCCTGTATTAATTTCTCTTACACTAGCTGGAGGATTATATTCGTTTCCCATTGCTTCTGTAACATAGTACTAACACTTGGTGGCTTAAGGCAATAAAAATCTGTTAGCTCAGAGTTTGGGAGGTCAAAAATCTGGAAAAAGGGTTTTAAGAACTAAAAGTGTCAACAGAGTTGTGTTTCTTCTGAAGGCTTTTGGGAAAAAAAATTGCTTATTTTGCAGCCACTTGCAATCTTTGGCTCAGGGTCCCCTTCTCCATCTTCAAAGCATATTCCTGCAGTATCCACTTCCATCTCATCTCCTTTTTGTGCCTCTGGCACTGCTGTCTTGCTCTTTTAAGGGTCCTTGTGATTATATTCTGCCCACTGAATGATTAAGAAGAATCTCCCAATGTCAAAATCCTTAATTTGACTTCATGAGAAAAGACCTTTCTTCACAGGAGAAAGGACTTCTTTGAGGGACTGTTATTTGGTCTCCCTTGGAACCAAATAAACTTTCAGTATTCAAAAGCCAGGTAGATCAGACAGAGCATGCCCAGTGAGAGCACAGGTCCCTTCCCCAGCCCCAACCCCAGTCGCAGTCTCGGCCTCAGCCTCTCTCTCCAAACCCTGATGAATTCCTGCTATGACTTTACTGGGGCCTCTTGTCATGGAACACTTGGCTCCTGTCTTTCAAAGTGTATGCTGTTTTTCTGCTGTACTTAATCTAAATATAAATACATTCTAAAAGATTTTCACATAGTTATGATCTTTCATCTAATAACGAGATTTTTTAAAGCATAAATGTTTCTGCCCTATACTCTTAATGTGTAAAATATTGGTGTCCCCTTCTAGTTAAGAAATCGAGGTGGGCTGGAGCCGCTGGCAGAGCTCCTGCACTCCAAGAATGATGAAGTCAGAAGGCATGCCAGCCAGGCTGTGATGGTCTGTGCCAACGATGAGCTGACAGCCACTGAGCTGTGTAGGCTTGGGTGAGTGGATGCCATCCCCGGCTCAGATGAAGAGCAGAAGACAGAGAAGCACTCTTCAGAATCTAAACTGCACTCCCAATGGGGCAGAGTGCTCAAGGGCCCTGCTGGTCCACAGCACAGACCTTCACCTAGAAGTGGGGTGGAGACCACCTAGAGGCAGGGACATCCTTCACCCACTCCTGCACTGAAGGGCCCAGCTGTAATTTGCACAGCATCTTCCCTATTTTATTTTCCATTTCATTATCTTGATAAATGTTTCTTTTTGACTTTTCTCTGCCATTATCAGACACAGTCCTGTCTGTCTCTCCACTTCAAGGTCAAAATAAAAAAAAGCAAGTCATGAATATCACCTGGATTTTTCTTTGCTCACTCATCCATATCTTTTTATCAGGATTCTATATATAACCTCCTTCCTCCCAGTCTATATAGTTTTACCCTCTATCTATCTATCTATCTATCTATCTATCTATCTATCTATCCTAGTTACTAAAAAAGTTAGGGTCCAATATAATGCAATGAATTTTCCTACAGGTGTTTATTTTAGTCAACTTTTCATTGCTATAGAAAATAACAGGTCAGTTTACAAAGAGGAAAATTTATTTGGCTCACAGTTTTGGAGTTTCAGTCCATGGTAAGCCAGCCAGCCCCATACTTTTTCTGTCACAGTGAGGCAGTACATTGTCATGAGGATCAAATGGCAAAGGAAGCTGCACATCTCACAGCAGTCAGGAAGCACAGAGAGAGGGGAAAGGGCGGGATCTCAATATGCCTTCCAGAGTGCGCCCCCAGTGACCCTGCTTCCTTTTGCTAGGCCCACTCTTAAAGGTTCCACTACTTCATAATAGTGCCAGAGGTTGGCAACCAAGCCTGCAACATGCAGGCCCGTGGAGGACCCTTTCCAAACCAAAGCAGTTTCATTCACAACTGTCTGAATATGAGTTACTGTGAGTCACATATGTTCTCACCACGAGCTGATTGTCTTTATAACTCTATCAGTATTAGCTTTACCTCGAAGGGTTGGAGAGGTGTTAGGCTTCCGTGTCTGTTCTTTATTCAAGATCTAAAGTATAGAAATGGAACTCAATGTTGGATGGCTTGTAGAAAACAAGACGTTTTTGCTTTTATTGACAGGGCTTTGGATATCCTTGAGGAAATTAATCTATCAGTAAGTCGAAAAAATAAATTCAGTGAGGCAGCTTACAACAAATTGCTCAACAATAATCTTCCCCTGAAATATAGCCAGATTGGCTATTTGTCATCAAATAACATAATTAGTGATGGATTCTATGATTATGGTCGGGTAAGTGGTTGTACTTACTTGCATTTTAGTCTTCTGATAATTTTTCCTTTAATCATGATGCTGTTATATTGCCATTTTATAAAAATTTTATATTTGTACAGATAGAAATTTGAAAATCAGCACTTTGGTTATAAGAGTTTGCATTCTTGTACAAGTTTAACTAGAATCTATTTATTTGTAGTAAAATCATCTTCCTAATGCCAGTCTCTAGTCTCAAATAAGATATAAATGGAGCGTTTTAAATTTGGAACAATTTCATTTTCAACTTTATTTTTTAAATAGTAAATATATTACTTATTAAAGTAATATCTTGTAATATACTATATATAATAAATAAATAAATAATATGAAAGTTGACTATAAGTAATATAATAAGAAGTAAAGTGATAAAGAAATTATTAAAAGATATTACTTTGAGGGTTTGGTGTTAGTGATTTTGTAAATTAATTATTACCTAATTAAAATTAATCCAGTTCTAATACTAGATTTTAAAACTTAATGCATAAAAAATTTTGTTTAACTGTTTTTATGATTATGATTTAAAATATAATGTAATTCAATGCTATTATTAAGAGAAACAGGAAGGGAAAAATTAAAATCTTAAGGACTTTTTTTGATGTGGCTGCTTAAATTCACATTTTTTACTTCTTTTGGAAACCAAACACAATCAAGATCCTGAGGAAAACTTTAAAACCCCACAAATCCCATATTAGGAAAAATAGGAAAACAGATATGATTCTGAGACTTCAGAAAATTTTAAAGATCGCCAAAAGCCCTTAAGAGTAGGCAAAAACTGCAGGAAGAAAAAGGGGAAGAAGAAAAATAATCAGAACAGAAATATTGGTGGCAGATCTCAGAAAGTACCATCCAATATATGCTTTCTGAAGCAAGAGAACACAAAAGAGCAAAAGCTGGATGCTTTGTTGGCCAGGCAGGCATAAAACTCAAGACTGTTCTGGGCCTGGCAGAAACAGCGTTGGGCCAGTTCTGCTGACAGAAACAGAATAGACAGGGCCATGAAAGATTCACATAGCTGAGCTGTACTTGCAGGAAGGAGAGGAATGTAGACGCTTTGAATAATGAGAAACAGCCAAAAATGTTCCTTACTCCACTTCCAGTACCACACCCTGCAGCAACCTATAACACACACAATAGTCACCAAGAAACTCCTCCAACAAAGCCGGCTTGTTCAACGATGGATATTTTTAAAAGAAGTGATGCATCACTGCAAAGACCAGCAAGCGTGATAAATAATTTCACATGATAATGAGGGATGCAGGGGTAAAGAGAAGGGAAGCAGAGGCAAATTAGGGGGCTGGGAAGTGTTGAGTTTCATATTTGCAATTTTAAACCTGGAGGTCAGGTGGCCTCACCGAGAGGATAATATCTGAACAAAGTCTTGGAGGAGGTGAGTGACTTTGCCATGGGGACATTGAGAAGAATTTCCTAGGTAGAGGCTACCAGCCATGCAAAACTCAGAAGGAGCACATGGCTTGGCCATATTTGAGGAACTTCAAGGCCAGTGTCGCTAGAGCTGATGGCCAGGGTGAGGCTAAACCGATCGATGCTGTGAGTCTTGAAGACCTTTTGGTAGAATGTAGTGAGACCTTTAATCAGAATCAAGTGAGAAACTGGGAGGGTCTGCGCAGAAGACTGATGGATCTGTCTTATTTTCAAAAGGATCTCTTCTTGTTATTCTGAAAACATCATGTAAGGTATCTTGCATGGGAAAGAACCTAACTATCACTTCACTTTAAAATCTTAAGGAAAGAGATCTTAAAAGTTATGCAGACCAGACCGGTGAGGCTGCCAGGATAGAGCTTTGTTCAGCTCGTTTTTATTCATCCTCACAGCACTTTAAGGAATCAGGTTCACTGCTGACTCTTCTAGATGGTAAGTCTCCCTAAGGCGTATAGGCATATTTGCAGACTCAAACACTCTCAGGAGCAGAGGTAATAACTATGGTGTGAAACAGATGAGGTAGATGAAGCGAAAGGTTGTTGGAAACTGGAGGGGCGTGTTCTGCTCATAAGTAAGAATGTTCACAACTTCACTTTCCTAGTTCTAATTTTACATGTGTATGTTGCGTGCATGTGAATGAATTAGACTCTTCAAACTGTCAAGAATATATTCCACCAGAATTCATTTCTAGCAATATGACTCATGAAGAAAATACTTTTCAGTCCTTACCTTATCTTCCAGATAAATCCTGGCACCAAACTTCTGCCCCTGAAGGAGCTCTGCTTGCAAGAACCTGGTGATCAACGTGCTGTTCTCTTAATCAACAATAAATCTGTTGATGTGTGAGTTTTTTTGCAGTGCAGGAGATGTAGGGAAGCGTATTTTAGTTTGCTCATTTGTCAGTGGGTATCTTTCTCTTTTTTTCCTGTGTCCAGCAACACTGTGAAAGCAAACAGTGCACTGCAAACAACCTGCTAGTCTGATGTAGACTAACTCTGAAATCACCACCACAAATCCAATGTGTCTCTTTCTCTTTGACTCCCTTACCAAATCCCAGTAGATTTCTGAGATGAAGACTCTGACCTTCGAGTAACTGAGTTTTAGAGGGAGGTGGACTGAGATGAATCATGTCCACTCATCTGCAGAACCATGTGCTGGAGTATAACTACTACCCACTAATTTGCTTTGAAATAAACAAATGGTAGGGCTAAAAATCAAAGCTTCAAATATCCTGGAAAATGACTGTACATATCTCTATATCTATACCATATCTAGATATTACATTTTATGCAAATATCTCCTGTCCTACCTTGTGAAAAGCTTTGTGACAGTATTCCTTTTGTTTTTAATGTCATCTATAAGCTTTTAAAATTGTATGTTACTGTTTGAAGTCTGCTCCAATATGACTTTTAGTAGAATATTATTTTAGAGTAAAACACCAGTATTTATGAATACATTTTAATTTGTGCATAATTTTGAATGTACAATGCTTTAGTTCTCTACCTATGGAAGATAAATCGTCAGACCTCAGTTATGGACGAAGTATTTCTTCTTCATCTTCATTAAGAAGAGCAAGTAAAGACAAGACCAAGTAAGAAAATGTTTTGTCTATATACAAATAAGTCTCCCCTTAATCTGGGAGTGAATACATGTTTTAGGTTCTAGATTTTGGCAACTTGATTCTTATTCTTCTAGTCACATGATTGCTTCTTAAATGGCTATAGCAAAGATTTCTGGAAAGGTGGCCGGGAAGTGTGGGTTTTAGATTCTCCTGTCTGCTGTGGCCCTGTGGTGACATTGGCCTACATGACTGCGTGTCTGTGAGCAGATCTGGACCCTTAGCTGTCATTGGAGCGATGCCTCCTGCTTCCTAGGGGAAATGGAAGGGCTTTAGAAAGTATAACATGACCCACAGATATAACCCTATTGTTATTTTCCTTCTGATTGGAATTGGTTGTGGTTTTTCTCAAATGACAAAACGAAACAAAAAAAATAGTTCTCGTTTTAGTATTGGATTTGGATCGCCCACAGAACTGAAATCAGAACCTACTTCGGGACGAAATACTGTTCTTAGCAAAAGTGCCACTAAAGAGAAAGGATCGAGGTAGGAAATGTGTGTTGTGTTCTAATTATAAATCATACCAAGTTTTAATTACCCAGCAAAGTTGGTGAAAAAGGAGATGTGGCTTTTTGGTTTTTGTAATGTTGAGAATTGACACTAGGACCTCACACTTGCTAGGCAAGTGTTATACTGTCAGCTACATCTTTAGTTCCTAAAACTTCCTACTTAAAATGCACTTCTCATGGTGTCAAACAGCTCAGAGGTAGAGCACTGGCCTCAGATATGCAAGGTCTTGGCTCTTGTCCTGTTTACTTCTGAACTATGTTGAACTAGACAAGATTCCTGAGCTGTAATTTGTAAGTACCTTTATTTGTGTCCCTAGCTGTCTCTAAAATTTATCCAGAGAGAATTTCTTCTGATTCTCTATGAGGATTCAGGTCACTCTGATCACTGGCAGGAACTATAAAATCCAACAGCTGCTTTAATTCAGAAACAACAGCGACAACAGGCCCCACTCAGCCTCTAACGCCCCGCCCAGGAGAGATATCTCCCTCACAGTGCAAGTTCCTGCCTTCCCCAGCCCTGCTTTTCACGTGGGCGGGCCACCCTCGCTTGTGTCCTGTCTCCTCTATTACCACAGCTCCCAGAATCTGAGGAGAGGGAAACTTGATTCAGTGCATATTTGCTTGGAATAATTATAAGTTCACATTTTTGTTTGTTTGCACTACTGGGGAGTGAACTTAGAGCCTTTTTTATTTTGGTACAAAGTCTTTCTAAGTGTCTAGGTTAGCTTTGGTCTTGTGCATTTTAAACATTCTTCCTTCTACGTGTTTTTCAAATATATTTCTTTTCCTAGGGGCCATTCCTGGATACTCAGAAAAGCCATTTGGACCTCTTGTCATGTGCAGTGGCCCTTTAATTATTGTAGATGTAAGCCCTTAAGAGCCACTGAGGGGCATGCAACAAACATCTGCTTTCTAAGTGAGCTTGCCCTCAGGTCTCCTAAGGTATAGGCTGAGGTTTGCTCTGACGTTCAGTCACCAGACTGTTGCCTGTAATTCTCTGGAAGCTCACGTTCACTGTATTCCAAGCTCATTGTTTTCCCCAACTCCCAACCTTCCTCCTAGTCTGTTCCTTTACTGGTTAATATGACTCCAGTTCTCAAACAATTGCCAGGCCAAAGAACCATCCTAAAGTCTTCCTGTCCTGGCGCTTAGTAAATCTCTCAGTCCTGTCCACTCTTACGTCTTAAAGGTCTCTTAAACTCATTTCTTCCTGATTCCATTGTTACTTTTGCAGCTCAGATCTCTACATTAGACCTCATTCATGTAGCCTTCTCATTGTAAGACCTCCTGTCCCCTTCTCCTTGCAGTGTTGGGGACAAACGCAAGGCCTTATGCATTCTAGACAGTCTCGTATTCTTCCAGCCTTCTTGCATAGCTTTCCATAAATCCATTCATGGTCACACTGTCCCCAAACTACCACCTTAAGATGGAAATCTGTTCACATTGTTACTGCATCCAGCCTGTTTTGCCAGCTATTCAGGAACACCAATGATGGAAATAACCAGGTTTTACAAGAGAAAGTCCCCCTTCCACCGGAGGTGTCCAAGGGTGGAGACGAGAGAACAAGTCCCAGCCTCACCCCTCCAAGGCTAGGTTTGGGAGAAATTTGTGGGCTGAGGCATGGAGAAGGTGACTGGAGTTTAGGCAGTACTGGGGGTCTACTCTGGTGCAAGCCAGCTTCATCAGCTGTTACTGGCATGACTCACATCACAGGTGTTATCTATGCCTCTAAAACTGGTGATTTTTAAAGTCAGTTGAATGGAGTAACTCAGAGCAGGTGAACTGGATTAGGGTTAGAACAAGTGATTAAGAGAAAGCAAAGTAGCTTCAGTTTAGAGTTCATGAACTAAGAGCAGTTGAAGTAACTTAGCCTACAAGGCTTTTCAGGGTTTTGTTGGTTTTAATATTACTCTGACTAAAACAATGGTTCCAGATCGTCTTTCAAATGAAGCCTGGGCACCCCTGGGAATCCCTGGAATGGTTTTCCCTTCCTTGTGTGAGTGCCAACTGCTCTCACTTCTTTATTCATTTTGTACTTTGCTCTTGTGACACCTTTCCCAGACAGGTTAAAAATTTACTTCTTACCCTCTTCTTTGTGAATTTAGATTTTTAAATCTCTGCTTTCTATCTTTATTGATATACTGCTGAACAGTTTTAAAATGATGTATATTTATAGTGCACTGCATGATGTCTGAATGTCTGAATAGACATTGTGAATCCTTCACCAAAATCAAGCTGATAAATATAGCCATCGCCTCACAAAGTTACCTTTTTTGGTTTTTGTTCAGTGGTGAGAACACCCTAAGATTACTTTTAGAAAATTTTAGTACAGTATTATTATCATGTCACCTTGCAGAACATTAGAGCTCATCTGCACAGCTGAAACTCCTTTGTGAATTGATCCTCTCTTCCGTATAACCTGCACTGACTGGTATTGACTTATTTATTGGTCTTTCTTACTATGCAAGGGGCTGCTTGACACCAGGACTATGCCTTACTCATCCTTGTATTCCTAGGACTTCAAATTGTATCAGGCACACTGGGGCAGTAAAGAAATATTATTGATTAAATATTCACAAATTATTGAATGACACTTGTTGAAAGGTCTAGATTGTTGGCTTCCTTTCAGCATACCCAGGGGGAATAAATATAACACATGAGGATAATTATTTCTGCTTCAGTCTGATTCCACTCATCTCTGCATATTTTTGCAGCTCCCTCTCTACTTCAAGATGTATCCTGATGTCTCCCAATGTTGTTCATTTAAATGTCCCCCCAAAGCCTCATGCAGTCATGGAGGCAGCTGAGTCTAGTGTTTGTGATTGGTTTGTTTTCTAGCTCTGGCCCCATCCAGGGACAGGTAACTGGCATGCAGTATAAGGAAGAGAAAGAGGCGTGCTTTTTCCCCTTTTGCTCTTTCACTCTTGTCCACTTGCAGCTGCCACAAATGGCTGCCCTTTACCCATGCCACCCTGCCTGGCAAACATGAGGTCAAGAGGTCCGTGAGTATGGACTGAAATCTCCAAATGTTGTAAGCTTTCCTTTCTCCAGTTTGGGCATCAGGTTTTTTGTCTTAACACTGAGAGAAAAGTAACCAAGACACCCAACATCCAAGAAGACTGCAGGAATTAGGGAGGGCACACAGACTTAGCACTCAGGCTGTCTTTTTCTTAAGTGAGTAGTGGGGAGTGTGGCTCCCATCTTGTACAGCTGTGGAGAGAGTGAGCAGGATGATGTGTGGAAATGCACCTAGCCCTCTGTATGTGTGGGTTGCAATTTCATTCTTTTTCCCTTTCTCTGCCCTTGGTCTATGGGAGGATTGATGACCCAATTGTCCTGTTAACCTCTTGTCCATCTCTTGACCAACCCTTCTTATCTCCCTTGGAGAGCTTTAGACTCCTGGGAATAGATTAAAATATTTAATCTGATAATATCATTGATGATGCTTTATTTTGACTAAAAGAATGAGAAACACTGACAAAGAATTTAACATCTAGAGCCACAAAGTGGCTGAACGTTTGGAAGACCATAAGAGATGGGAAATAGATCAGTTATGTATGAGTTGATCTGAGGCAAACGAGAAAATCAAAGTTTAAGTTTCTCACTTTTTCCTGATGAATATTATTACCATCTACTGCATGAGATGAATACCTGTCACTTAGGCAAAGAATCTCAGTGTTTTACAGAGAATGCTCATTATTTTATTACTTTTGCTTTTGAGGTTCTACTGGCTCTATGGCAAACAAAGAGGTGATGTGATTATTTCCTGTTATACATTCATTTGGCTGGTGCTTCCTTAGACTCCAGCATGTCTAAGAGCCCTAAAGCTTTTCGTTATAAAGAGCATGCTTCTCATAATAAGATGCACTAGACCTATTGGTATAGTCTAAGCTCTCTGTATGTACTATATATTGAGACCAGTTTTCATAACATTAAGCTGAATATACATGAATTTATAATACGCACTTAAAGATTTATTGTTTTTCTGTCTCTCACATCTTCCTTCCAGTCTGCTGCTCTCTGGAGCCCCGGTGCATTGACATTTCTGCTACTCACACATCTTGATCCCACAATAATGAGCTCCTGAATATTTTTATGTTTAAATAGTTTCCCACAAATTCTCTTTCTGCCCATACCTTAGCTGTTTTTCCTTCTCTCAAATGTTGATTAGCTAGTAAAGTTTTTCAGTAACAGGCATTGTCTCTTAGTAAGATTTAAATATTTGCTTCTCATTTTCTCTTAAATTTATTTCTTCATTGAATAAATAAATACTCTGTGTCCACTATGAGCCTGGAATTATTCTAGTGTTGGAGATATAGCAGGGAATAGAAATCTCTGCTCCACTGGGATGGGATTGAGCTCAGCAGCATAAGCATCTGCCTGGCAAACATGAGGTCATAATTTCTATCTCTGGTATCCAGAAACAAAACACAACACAACAACAACAAAACCTCTGCCCTCATAAAATTTACACCCTAGTGGAGACACACACACACACACACACACACACACACACACACACACACCTATCCAGAACAAATCCTCTCTCTACTTGGAACAATACTCTCTTCTAATGCTTCTGGTGGATAGATCAGGTGGAATAGGGCACCCATCTGGGAGAGATTTCTTTCAACATTAAATTCCTTGAATTTCTTATCTTTTATCATTTATGTGGAATTTATTGAATGCTATCTGGTACTGATTATTTTCTGCATACCAAAATTGTCCTGCTTTAGATAAAACTCTGAGTGTACTGAGTTCATGCCTTGTATTTCTCCCATCAGCTTTGCCCTATAGTGTATACATTTAATGAGGTGATGATATCAAAAAGAAGCAAGTGATTAAACTTTGAAAATATCAAAACACAATTTGGAGCCACATAAATATTCTGTTGACTTGCCCTTCTATTCATCTACCTGTGATGAAAATGCCATTAGAGTTTTGTCTCCCACAGTAAATCCATGATTTCTGGGAGCA